TCTCAATCAAAAATTAGTTTTAATAAATTAAGAATGATAATTGTATAATACCGTTCTAATAAGAAAAATATATGTAAATAAGGATTCATCAACTGTAAATCGATTCACCTAAACCATTACATGAAACAAATATAGACATATACTGTTTATCATTAGACTTTACAAAATTTACATTTAAATAAACAAAGTACTTACTTCATAAAAACTAACTGGACCTTGAATAGAATGAGATCTAGATTTGGTTATTGATCCATTAGCTGTTTGTTCTGTTTGTGTTGTATTAATATACCACCATTCTCGTTGAGTATTTGCACCAGTACCAGAAAACTCTTGTTCAGAACTAGCTTTTAAAACATTGGATTGAAATGGGGTAGGTGCTCGATTTGTATGTAAATGTGCTAAACATGCTAAATCGATGAGAACACGTACACCATCAGCATCGACAAATGACATAACATTATTCTAGAAATTAAAACACAGGAAACATAATTGAAAGATACACATATATTCAGTAAGGTAAACAAAACTGGGATTACTGAAGATGAAGTTATTTACTTCACTTACCACGTAAACATTTGTATACTTAGCTAAAAGTCATAGTTTAATTATGAAGACTAGTGATATTATTTGGTTGCTAAAACAAAAAGAGATACAATGGAGTTCGGACTTGAAACTTAATGGCTGAATGTCGAAGGTCTTAACCATCGAGTGAGGGCTCAATGACTTGAATAGACCAATAAGAAGTTCATTTATTTTTTCTAAACGAAAGTATGAATACATAAGAAATGTGAATATTTAACAAAACGTGATCACCTCATTGGAAAACAAAAGTCAAAACGCTGACCATAGTTTCATTGAATTCATGGTTATTGATGTGACAAACAGTCTAGTTTTAATGCCATTTTCAAATGAATGAGACTTAAAACTCATATTCTATAGTCGTTAATATATTAAGCAACAGGTATTCTTATTTATTCTTATGTTAAATACTTGGTACACCGGCTAGTTTTATTGGTTTTGCGATCATTTGGTTCATTGATTTGAGGTTTACATCAATAAGTCAGTTTAAAGAAAAGTCACCAATCAAATAAAATATTATCAGAAGGGAGTTTTGTGGAGATTTTTGTAATTTCAATTGTTGAAATTATGAGTCAATTGAAGCTAGCTACCTGAGGAGTCGCACAATAGGACGAAACCGCCGTCCAGTGCTTTCAGGTTTTCCATGGTGGTCTAGCATTATTTGACTCATGAACTCAACAGTTGAAATAAAATATTGTTTATATATACATCAGTTTTTATGGGAAGCGGATTCACATCGTTGGATGTGAAGTAAACTTTGTCTAGAAGAAGTAGGGATAATATGTGACTGTTGAGTACCAAGAAAACTCTGCAAGGATTTGAAAATTCAAGTCAGCATTTTAAACACTCAAACATCGTTACATGTGTGTTATATCCGGTGAAGATTAAATTACAGGTAAATTCCAAGGACTATTCATGGACTAATATTCTATAAATATTCTTATTGTATAACTACTCAACAATTACACTATGTATATTTATATTCCTTTTATGATAAGCTTTATTTTGACCTATAATTTATTATTGTACGATTTACGGTTCTTAAGTTATGTTCAGTATATTAACTACTGCCTCCCACATTCACAGCCACTTTTTGGGCTTATTTGTGTACAAATATTATTTCCTATTTTATGGTACGTTGCGGTCTGTGTGATTGATGTATAAACCAAGTAAGCCTGGAATAAACGATCTGCTCCGATTCGGAAGCTGGTATTGTGTTCTGGACTCAAGTGCAAGGGCTTGTAGGACATAGGACCAATAAGGACGCTAAACTGCCCACACCGGTTGAACGTCATTGGTTGGCCTAGTGTGAAGATTCGTATAAGTCGTACTCGGATTGGTAGATAAATCGTGTGATAGAAAAGTCAGACATCCAAGGTCATAACGATGTGACAAGAAAAATTCCTGGAAATATTATCTCCATGTTACTTTCATTACACATTTTCTTCATTGCCTTAGTCAGTTTATCTCGTAGTTCATCACAAAATGGTATCTTTATTGAGTTGTATCTCCAGATAGAGAGGCTTCATCATTAGATATATCAACGTTGAATTGCATTTAGACAAAAAGGAACATATCCTATAGAAATAATACTGTTGACTTTTTTTTCTTTTGATAACTAACAAATGAGAGTGTCTTCACGACGCAACAAGAAAAGAATCTGACTTGATTAGCTACGAAAGATGTAATAAACAGAATGGTACTCTCATCATCCTGTTCAATGCTTCTTGGTTTTCAATGACAATCGAAGTTTATGATGTATACTATTAAAAATTAACAATCTCTTAAAAGCCCTATACTAAGAAGAAGAACCATTTAGAAAATGACAAGAGATCATATTCAGTAAATATCCCCTTCTCAAAAATGGACTTTGCTAACAAGACATAACTTCATGTACTTAGAAATTGGAAAAAATTACAATCTAGACAATATGGATAATTGTAGTGTGAGCTACTTATATCCACATAAGTAGTATATAGTAGTGGTCAGGAATAGAATGTATTTCAGTAGAAGATAGAGAAGGAAACGTTCAAATTGCCCCAACTGGTGATCTTGTTCACTACATATATAGTATGCTGGAAACTTGAAACGTTGTCATGTCGGTTGGTTATTCATTAGAATAACACAAAACTTTACGAATCTGAAACTATATGGAAAAGGATACTAAGGCTGATATTAAAATTTTCCATTTCATCAAATAGATTGAGGAACCGTATGATGAATTTTTATTCTTAAATTTTGATGGAAAATTCCACAAAATGTTAATTGGATAGAAACGTAGTTACATGTATTTTCTAAACAATAATACATAGATTTCGAACAACAGATTGATTTAAAAAAACACGATAAAATGTCTTAGTATAACTTACCCTTACATAAACTTAGTCAGTTAAGATATCTGACTTTCATTCAGTGAGCTCAAGGTTCGAACACCGTATCACATAGGTTTGGACAACCAGATAGTATCATTAGACCTCATACTTAGAGTATAGTTCATACATGAGTGTCTGGTGAATGAGTTAATTATTTACAATTACTTATAAATTACTAGACCCAAACCATTAGAAGGACCTCGCAGATGATATGGCCCTTCTATCTCAAACGCAACAACAAATGCAAGAGAAAACGACCAGTGTAGCAGCAGCCCCAGCAGCAGTAGGTCTCAACATACACAAAGGGAAAAGCAAAATTCTCCGATACAACACAACTAGCAACAACCGAGTCACACTTGACGGAGAAGATTTGGAAAATGTAAAAACCTTTACATATCTGGGCAGCATCATCGATGAACACGGTGGAACTGATGCAGATGTGAAAGCGCGGATCGGCAGAGCAAGAACAGCATATTTACAACTGAAGAACATCTGAAACTCAAAACAACTGTCTGTCAACCAACATCAAGGTCAGGATTTTCAATACAAATGTCAAGACAGTTCTACTGTATGCGGCGGAAACCTGGACAACTACGAAAGCCATCATCCAGAAGATACAGGTGTTTATTAACAATTGTCTACGCAAAATACTTCGGATCCGTTGGCCGGACACTATTAGCAACAACCTACTGTGGAAGAGAACAAACCAGATCCCAGCGGAGGAAGAAATCAGGAAGAAACGCTGGAAGTGGATAGGACACACATTGAGGAAAGCACCCAACTGTATCACAAGACAAGCACTCACATGGAATCCTGAAGGCTAAAGGAGAAGAGGAAGACCAAAGAACACATTGCGCCGAGAAATGGAAATCGGCATGAGAAGAATGATCAAGAATTGGATGGAATTAGAAAAGAAGGCCCAGGACAGAGTGGGTTGGAGAATGCTGGTCTGCGGCCTATGCTCCATTAGGAGTAACAGGCGTAAGTAAGTAAGTAAGTAATCTTTAGAAGAGAAGCATATTTACAAGAATAACATACCTTATTCAACATTAATTTATCCAATAGTAAAAGAAGACAATCTCTTTCAGATGCAAATGTTGTACGATCTAATAAATAAGTAAGTAATGGAATATCTGTAATTGGACCAATCTCATGATGACATCGGTGATATACAACTGACATAGCATGTAAGCATAAACAACGCATTGTTAGACGACGTAATGTATTGGGTGTTATATTGTTACAATCAGTTGTACAACGTTTAATAGAATTATCATTAATGGAATAATATGGATCCGATGCAACATATTGAAGGTAACGTCGAAATAATTCATTGAAAAATGCAGTACTATAAGGCGAAAATAATGTACACGAACAAGGACATAGTAACAAATCATAAGCTTAAAATGGTAACGAATTAAACAAGACTAAATCAGATCGATCAGTTTTATTAAAAGATATATAGAATACACGTGCAAATCTACTATATTTCATTACATCACAGTGAAATAAACATAAAAACTGCAATAATCAACATATTTTTGTTAAATATTCAATGATTCCATTGGTTAATGTCATATCGTATTTTGATCATCTCTAGACGTGGTAGCATTATATTCGAATGTCCATCGTCTTGTCTCGATTGACCTAGCATTCATAAGATCACTCTGCCAGGGAAGCTTTACTCATTGCCTTCTCGTGGCGGGGGTGTTGTTTACGAAATTGAGAGGACGAAAAGCGAATGTCCGGTAGGGGCTTTAACCGACTTAGGGGACACGGAGACTTTAACTAAGGGAGTCGGAAAACCCTCATTCCAAACCAATGATACACATGATCCCCAGTATCCTGAAGGAACAAATGGTGTATAAACTAATCGTAGATCACCGGCTACCATGGGACTGCATCTCCTGATGTTGCCCCACTGCCTTGTGGATCAGACTTTTAGGTCGAAGTTTCCGGGTGTGGCCCCCTAAGAAAACCGACTGTTACGGTTTGGGCAACAAGGCAGTATCACAGCCCTAACACAAATCAAATGAGATTTATGTGGCGCATATGCATCTGGTGCCCTCTTGTACCAGTACTTATGTGTTCAAATAAATAAGTGAGAATCAATGGGGTTAAAGTATTCGTCGAAAATGAAAAAAATTCATTAATCCCATTAAGAACGATCTAATAAATGTCACAATTACTGCATACACAAACGTTTAATGATAAGTTGGATAGAATTATTTGGAAGAACGTTAGATGTATGGTTATATCAAGATATGGAATTAATTTGATAAGTCATTGAGCGTTAGTGTGATTCATATCAAGACGTGTCGAGATATGAAAATCATCGGATTAAGTCTCATGATGTCGTATAGTAGCGTAGTTGGAACTTCTCAAGCTAAGGTGAAACTGATGTTGAATATTCCTTGTTTAATTTCAATTTTATGAATTATATTTATTTGAAAACAATTTATATCGAGAACTGACTTCGGTTCGACAATAACTGAAAACAAGGAGTAATTGAACAACTGTTTCGAAACTAATATCAGACTCTTTGGGAGGGATGCATACACATGTCGACTAGAGATCTAACCCCTTTAGGCTCCACGATTCCAAATTTCTGTGATTAAACCCTCAATGTTACAGAACGATCAGTTATTGCTATCGACGTCATCTGTGTCACTCCTGACACAGTTGTACTCCAATAGTGGTGGTTTTACATTAAAACCTTGATCGTTTTCCCTTAGGTTGATCTGTTGTGAGTACAAGACCATGATTGGGAAACTCACTAAACACGAAGTCTGAATCTTTTAGATCGAATGACTGACGGAATCGTGAATGGACACTGTTGAGGAGATCTGCAATAGGATGAAACTGCTATTCATTCATCCTAGGGTTTCACTAGTGTTTGAGTACAAGTTAGTTCATGATGTAACAAAAATGTCTCCACTAATCTCTATAAACGTAATCATAAACATTTATTTACTTACCTATCACGAATACGTGATAGACCCATAGATAACACATTAGTTGAATTTGCATTAGTCAATGTAGTTGCATCAATTACTTCATTCACATGTCGATCTTCTTCAAGTAATAAACGTAAAAAATAGTTGCCAACACGTGGTTCTTCGATTAAACTTGGATAATTCACTTTAAATTCTCTATAATTCCATGAAACAAGACTTGCCTATCATAAAATCATTGAAAGTAACCAAACAAATAGAGGAAATCAATTTACGTGAAAATATAGAATTAAAAAAGAAATAGAAAGTACGAAAGTACAACTATGTAAAATATTGTCAACCACTTTAATGAAGAGCAGAGCATGGTAACAATTTATAGTTTCGCATTATAATATCGATAATTCCTATTAACAAGTCGGTAGAGACTATTGGGTTCCGGTAGTGTATATCAAATAAATATTATGTACGGTAAATCAGTTCAGTGAACTTGAAACACATAGTGAGCTAAGGTAATTTAAACGTGTATTGATAAAGTTGACATAATGATTATGAGCATTGATAGCGTATAATGTAAACGGTAAAGGCGATGAATAGCATTAGATAGTGACGCAAAAAGTCAATAAGTTGACAGGGGTTAAAAAGATATCAGTTAATGAAATAATAGTGGAAAAACGATGATACATAGTATAAAGCAAAAATGAAATGGACCTTTATTTATGAAAGTGATCTACATATCCATGCTTCACCACTGTGAGTTGGTTATCATCGAGGTAAACTAAATCAAAACACAGTGCCAATTTATAAAGTATTCAACTGTTAAACTAATCTATGATGAAGTCTAATGATATAGACTTCAAAATAGACAATGTTGATATAATCGTAATCTGCATTAGAGCCTTGAATACATGACAAAGATTACTAGACTCTAGTCCTCTGATGCTTGTCAATGTTATTTCTGTTATATCCCGATAAGCATAATGAATGGTAAATTTCAGGATCCATTTATGGACCAATACTATGCGTACATTTTTATGATATAATTGTTGAATAACTAAACTATACATATTCATGTCTCTTTTATTATGAGCTTTATTTTAACCTATGAACTGTTATTATACGATTTAGCATTCCTGAATTATGCTCTAACTCCGTCTGTAGCTCTTCTAGAGTTACTGCCGGTCCCAAGCCCGGGTAAAGGAGGAGGGTTGGGCATGGGGTTAGCGTCCCCATCCCGTAGAAAACTAACTCGCTAAAAAAAACGCTTACCAGAAAAAATAATTCAAACCATTTTAACTCTGCCCTGAGAGTTAGAAGGTCTTCATTTAGAAGAATTATGACGCTTCATGGTGAAAGCCGAGTTCCTTCGGAAGCCACGAGGCCGATGCCCCTTCTAACAACCAGAGCAAAAAATTTTATAGGTACATGGAACGTTAGAACAATGTGGGAAACCGGGAAGACCAGCCAAATAGCAACGGAAATGAGGAGATACAACTTGGCAGTACTGGGAATCAGCGAAACCCACTGGACCCAAGCTGGACAGAAAAGGCTAGCTACGGGAGAGATGCTGCTATACTCCGGTCACGAAGAGGAAAATGCTCCACACACTCAGGGAGTTGCTCTAATGCTGTCCAAAGTAGCACGAAATGCACTTGTAGGATGGGAATCCCACGGATCCAGAATCATCAAAGCATCATTCAAAACAAAGAAGGAGGGGATCTTAATGAATATTATCCAATGTTATGCACCCACCAATGATAGCAACGACGACATTAAAGATCAATTCTACGAGCGGCTGCAGTCAATCATAGAGAAATGCTCAACAAGGACCTAACCATTCTAATGGGAGATCTAAATGCCAAGGTCGGAATAGACAACACTGGATATTAAGATATTATGGGACGACATGGACTGGGAGAGAGGAACGAAAATGGAGAAAGATTTGCAAATTTGTGTGCATTCAACAAATTAGTCATAGGAGGCACAATATTTCCACACAAACGTATACACAAGGCTACATGGATCTCACCGGACCACACTACAGAGAACCAGATAGACCATATTTGCATCAACAAAAAATTCCGAAGGACAATGGAAGATGTGAGAACCAGGAGAGGAGCTGACGTAGCTTCAGATCACCACCTAGTTGTAGCCAATTTAAAACTGAAGCTAAAAAAGAACTGGACAAGTGGACAAACAGCACTACAAAGGTTCAATACAGCCTTCCTTCGAGATACTGACAAACTCAATGAATTCAAGATAGCTCTCAACAACAGGTTCCAAGCCTTTCAAGATCTACTGAAGGAAGAAGAAACTACCATGGAGGACAACTGGAAAGGCATCAAAGAAACATTGACTTCAACGTGTCAAGAGGTTCTGGGCCTAAAGAAACACCATCATAAGGAATGGATCTCTACAGAAACACTGGACAAGATCAAAGAAAGGAAGAACAAGAAGACAGCAATTAACAACAGCCGAACACGAGCAGAGAAAGTCCAAGCACAAGCTGAATACATAGAAGCAAACAAGCAAGTGAAGAGGAGCATTAGAGCCGACAGGAAGAAATACGTGGAAGAATTAGCAACGACGGCAGAAAAAAGCTGCTAGAGAAGGAAATATGAAACAGCTCTACGATACAACGAAGAAACTATCAGGGAAATACAGTAAACCAGAGAGGCCGGTCAAAGACAAAGAAGGCAAGCCAATCACTGAAATTCAACAACAGCGAAACAGATGGGTAGAATACTTCGAGGAACTCCTGAATAGGCCGGCTCCAATGAATCCACCGAACATCGAAGCAGCACACACAGATCTTCCTATAGATGTCAACCCACCAACGACGGAAGAAATTAGAATGGCCGTCAGACAAATCAAGAACGGGAAAGCAGCAGGACCCGACAACATACCAGCTGAAGCACTGAAATCAGACGTCGAAGTAACCACAAGCATGCTTTACCCTCTATTCAAAAAGATTTGGGAGGAGGAACAAGTGCCAATGGACTGGAAAGAAGGACACCTCATCAAGATTCCAAAGAAAGGAGATCTGAGCAAATGTGAAAACTACAGAGGCATCACACTACTGTCAATACCAGGGAAAGTCTTCAACAGAGTGTTGCTGAACCGGATGAAGGATGCAGTAGATGCCCAACTTCGAGATCAACAAGCTGGATTCCGAAAGGATCGGTCGTGCACAGACCAAATTGCAACACTACGGATCATCGTCGAACAATCAGTTGAGTGGAACTCGTCACTGTACATCAACTTCATTGATTATGAAAAGGCATTCGACAGCGTAGATAGGAGAACGTTATGGAAACTTCTTCGACATTAAGGAGTTCCTGAGAAGATTGTCAATATTATCCGGAACTCATACGACGGACTACAGTGCAAAGTAGTG